TGGAATGATTGTAAGACTGTCATTATTGTTTTTAAATTTACCTGTGACATAGCCTTTATTTTTAGTTTGCTTACTTAATATTGTGGTTCTTAAATGCTTTTCCACTGATATTCCATTCATTTAGACGAATCTGTTTAGAAACCCCCAATGGCAGGTCCTTTACATACTTGTGCAGTGATTAAAGCATCAGTGTGGCCATGCTGAGCTGGCTTTGGCTTTATCGTAGTGGTAGTGACACAGAAACCAAGCTAAACGCTGCCCTGTGTGAATGCTGGTCATGGTGACTCTTAACTCTTTGTTTCCACTTTCCTAAAAGTTGAGCCTTTCCTTGAAGCTGCAGCCATCAAGTGGTTAAAATTATCTTTGGTGAAGGGATAGAAGTCAAACAGGAAGTTCAGTGCTGACCCCACTGAATTGGTCGACTGGTCTTTCATCCCTTTCAGTGTTTGGCAGGGCAGTGTACATATTAAGCTAGGACCAAGCAAGCATCAGAGGACGAGTACCCTGTTGGTCCCGTAGTCTGTGCTTAGTCCTCTGTTAATCACCTCATTAGCCTCGGGATTATTCATTTAAGTGAAGATGTAAGCCTTCCCTTGGACCTGAATGCACCATAAGAGTACTGGACCACTTTGCAGCACCTGACTGTAATACCTACATAATTGACAGTAAATAAATCATGACATTTACTGTACTGTAAGAGCATAGAATTACAGCACAAGCTGCTAGTCTAACATTGTAACCCTTACTCGTTTGTTTGAAAAATAAATTTAATGATTATTATGGCCTTTCAAGCAGCACAAGTTTCACTTCCTGATTTTGCTTTCATTGCCTATATTCCATTTATGTGTTAGAAACCATTAGGACATTTTTTTTTCATTTTATGCACAGCCTATTTTACAGCACTTCGTTTTTGTTTTTTTTAACACGGTTGTTTTCTGCCAGGGTAGGGTGAGCCAAAGAAGTAAAACACATTCACCATCATTCATTCAATACCTGTCATGCCAGAAATATGAAAACATCAGCTTTAAAAACTAGTCATTTTGCTCATCCCTTCGGTGGGATTGTCTTGATGCAGGTAAAGGCCGTTATATATGTATAGGAAATCAGAGTTGCCCATCCACTCCTGTATTATACCTACTTACCTTCCATTCCCTAATTATTTTGTGACCCCCTATGAGTTTAGTCCTTTTCCATATAAAATACTGTGCCAACAGATTTTCATACTCCTTCACTGAGTGTTCCACTCAGCCCTGCCTGCTCAGAGTGCTTGCCCAGCAAGGTTATGATTGCTGTGAGCAGCAGTAGCTTGGCTGACCAAGCATTTAGCAAGAAAGTCAACTTCAGACCAGGCTCCTAGGGTAGATCCCTCAAAACCAGTCATATTAATGCCACCCCTTCAAAGGAGGTTCCTTGATGTTGGTGAAGGGCTCTTGATCCAAGGAGTTGGACCTGTGCTCCCCTTCCCTGAATCTCACCTGATTGCATCCCATTTCTAGGTGCATAACCCCAAAAAAAGTCAGTGATTTATTTCCATTGTTATATAACTTCTAAGAGTTTAGGGATCCCACATTAAAGTTTCCAAAGAAATTTTAATGGTGATTACTTTTTATAAATTTTACATTTTCTGAGATACAGTACGTACTTAGTAGACTTAACAGGAATTACCTTTGATTAATTCCATATTAGTCCCTGTTAACATCATTTCGAACATAACATTATTTTCGAACATTTTTCAACATTTTAAAGTACAGGGGACCCCCGCATAACGATCACCTCCGAATGCGACCAATTATGTAAGTGTATTTATGTAAGTGCGTTTGTACATGAATGTTTGGGGGTCTGAAATGGACTAATTACTTCACAATATTCCTTAGGGGAACAAATTCGGTCAGTACTGGCACCTGAACATACTTCTGGAGAGAAAAAATATCGTTAACCGGGGGTCCACTGTATATTACATATTTTTAAAAAATCCCACAAAAATTTCACTATATTCAAAAATAATTTTGAATATTTCATGTATTTATTTCAAAATACTTGAATCATTGGAAAAAATCGGAAAAATATGCTAAAATGATGTTTCACTGCATATTTCGACGATTTAGAGCATTTAGAACACTTTAGAGAAAGTTCATTTTTCACTAAATATTCGTGTGTTTTCAAACTTTTTAATCAGAATTACTGATGCAATTGAATTTTATGCTAAAAGTAAGTTAAATATGAAATTTTAGTGAAGTACTTTGTCAATACATACTTCAGGTGTGAAAATCCATGTATTTTAGCTAGAAAATAATGTTTTCTGAAAAGTGTTCTAAATGCTCCAAATCGTCGAAATATGCAGTAAAACATAATTTTTGCACATTTTTACGATTTTTTCAATGCTTCAGGTATTTTTTTAAAATATATGAAATATTCAAAATTATTTCTGAATTTCATCGAAATTTTATGGGCTTTTTGAAAAATATGTAATATACTTTAAAATGTTGAAAAATGCTCGAAAATGATATTTTTTGGCATATTTCGACGATTCGAGGCTTTTCCAAGCATTTCTTGACGATTTAGTTCATTTAGAACTTTTTTCTGACAACCCTTATTTTTTAGCTAAAATACATGGGTTTTCACACTTTTTCATCAGATTCACTGCTACAATTGAATTTTATGCTAAAAGTAAGCTAAAATATATTTTTGTGAAGTATATTGTTAAAACATATTTTAACTAAAAAAAAAAAAAAAGTTTTTCAAGAAATGCTTGAAACAGCCTCGAATCGTCGAAATTTTCCAAAAAATGTTATTTTCGAACATTTTTCAACATTTTAAAGTATATTACATACTTTTAAAAAATCTCACAAAAATTCCATTATATTCAAAAATAATTTTGAATATTTCATGTATTTTTTTAAAAATACTTGAATCATTGAAAAAAATCGGAAAAATATGCTAAAATGATGTTTCACTTCATATTTCGACGATTTGGAGCATTTAGAACACTTTTCAGAAGACATTATTTTCTAGCTAAAATACATGGATTTTCACACCTGAAGTATGTATTGACAAAGTACTTCACTAAAATTTCATATTTAACTTACTTTTAGCATAAAATTCAATTGCATCAGTAATTCTGATTAAAAAGTTTGAAAACACATGAATATTTAGTGAAAAATTAACTTTCTCTAAAAAGTGTTCTAAATGCTCCAAATCGTCGAAATATGCAGTGAAACATCATTTTAGCATATTTTTCCGATTTTTTCAATGATTCAAGTATTTTGAAAAAATACATGAAATATTCAAAATTATTTTTGAATATAATGGAATTTTTGTGGGATTTTTTAAAAATATGTAATATACTTTAAAATGGGATGGGACTTACTCAGACAGGATGGGACTTACTCAGACAGGATGGGACTTACTCAGACAGGATGGGACTTACACAGACAGGATGGGACTTACTCAGACAGGATGGGACTTACTCAGACAGGATGGGACTTACTCAGACAGGATAGGACTTACTCAGACAGGATGGGACTTACTCAGGCAGGATGGGACTTACTCAGACAGGATGGGACTTACTCAGACAGGATAGGACTTACTCAGACAGAATGGGACTTACTCGGCAGACAGGATGGGACTTACTCAGACAGGATGGGACTTACACAGACAGGATGGGACTTACACAGACAGGATGGGACATACTCAGACAGGATGGGACTTACTCAGACAGGATGGGACTTGCTCAGACAGGATGGGACTTACTCAGACAGGATGGGACTTATGGGACTTACTCAGACAGGATGGGACTTACTCAGACAGGATGGGACTCAGACAGGATGGGACTTAGGTTTATTTATGTAAAGATAATCATATAAATAAATAAATGCTTTATTTCCACATGATACAAAATTGTATAACATTTAATGGTAGACTAGGGAAGCCCCTGGTTATGTAGAGCATTTCTGGCAAGCTTAATCCATACATATTACAACTTTTTTGAACATTATAAACATTTTATACATGCGTGTGTATACAAAGACGTTAATGATGGTGATTATAAATCTCTGATACGTTGTTGCTTGATGTACATTTACCATAACTAATAATAAAACTGAATTGATAATGGTTTGTGTTGATGATTTGTAGGTTCATCTCAGTGGATCTAATAACCTCTCCTGGTGTATATATCTAATACGTATTGTATTGATAATACTCATAAAAATAATTCTCATTAAATCTTTGGTGGATTATTATTACAGTATTATCATTATTATTATCATTATTTTTATTATTAGTTATTAGTATCATTATTTTTATCATCATTATCCTGTAGGGGTAATGCAGCATCTGGGGAATGATCCAAGGAAAGAGAATAGCTCCCACTCCTTGGATCAAAGAGCTCTTTACTGCCATGGAGACTCCTCTTGAAGGGACTGGTAAAAGGGATAAATGCCACTTCCCTCACTGTATACAATTACCCAGTGGGGTGCCACAGGCACTGTCCTGCCACCCTGAATGAAGGCAGAAAGTAAATTATTCCCTCTTTACTTGCTTTCTTGTTTGTCAGCCTTACTTGTGTGAGTCACTGGTGCCTTATCAAAGGAGTGGGAGGTAACCTGCTGCCACATGATCCACCATTACCTTTATTCCTTTTTCTGAGGCTTCATTAGCTTTAAAGATAGAAACACTAGCTTTTTATAAACATTTGTTTTGATAATTTAATGACATGGTTTATATTGAGGTTTTCATTAAGTGTTTTGTAACTGTTTGGCAACTTTAGAAGTGCCATCCTGTGTCAAGTGTTCTGTTTATCTTTGGGGAATTGTATTTTTATTTAATATTGCTAATTAATATTTTATTAGTAAATGATACTTTACATAGCTTAGTATCATCACACATTTTGCCACTTGGTGATATAGTGTCTGTCTGTGCTAGATTTTCATGTTAAATGATTAAATAAATATGTTAGTAACTATGAAAGCTGGCATCTGGCTGGAGAGGGACAAGGGGGTGTTACTGCATTGTTTCAGCAACTGTGGACTGGCAGGCTGACTGGCCACAACACTACATCTCATACAGTCAATTACAGGATAAAACTAAGCAAACTGCGTATATTGGGAAAAAGGGAGCGGTATCCTATAGGAGTGTGAATCGAGTGTGGGAGCAGGCATTGGGTTCAATTTTATTATTTTACATATTCTGCTTTGACTACCAAGAGTGAACCAGTAAGTTATATCTTGTGTGTAAATGTTCTCAAAATTGTTACCTAGAAGATAAATATTTAAATACAGTAACTGTAAAATACTTGCAACATTTGCAACTAAATTAATCCTAGTAGCTTAGTTTTAGAGTATTTGTGTCATGATGGAAAGGACACTAGGGTCAGTTCTGGGTGGGGTGAGAAATATGGGCAAGTCTTCCACGTGTCCCGTAGCTCAGTTGGTAGCGCACTCAGCTCACACATTGGGTGTCTGTTGTTTGATTCCTGGTACATGTGGAAACGTTGGGGCATGTTTCTTTACACCTGCTGTCCCTGTTCACCTAGCAGCAAGTAGGTACCTGGGTGTTAGCAGACTGGTGTGGGGGACAAGATTAACCTAAGTTACCAGAAATGCACTGTATAACCAGGGGCTTTCTATATAGTATGCTCTTAATGTCAGCTAGGTCTGTATAAATTGTATCATGTACTTCTAGAAAGATTATTATTATTATTATTATTATTATTATTATTATTATTATTATTATTATTATTATTATTAAAAGTATAGGGTGAACAGTGTTGTGTGGCACCCTATCCTCCAGTGCTTAAGTAGCAACAGTGTGTCTTGTGCTGCTAGAATTAAGCTGCCTGTTTGTTACTTCAATACTGATTTGTTAACTTGAAATATAAATTGATTTAGGTTAGGGTATTCTAGCGTAACCTGGCCTAAAGCATCTAATGTAAAAAAACCATACCACGGGCAGGGCTAGAACCCGCGATCAGAGAGTCTGTAAAAAATTACATTTGTGGTCACAGTGGTGCCTATTGCTAACCTTCCTATGGTGTAGAAATATACCTAGTTGGATGAATCTTATTGTGGCTAGCTGGCCCAGTAGCTAACGCGACGGTCTGGAGTTTTGAGACTCTCTGATCGCGGGTTCTATCCCCGCCCGTGGTATGGTTTGTTTGCAATCGTGTCATTACAATTTCGTAAGTCATCTAATGTAAAATTTTGGTTGCTGTTTATATCATGTATAAATTGATTCATTGTGATGCATGCAAAAATGGATGGTTTTTGTATGTGTGGTATATAGGATTAAAGAATTTTGGAAATTATGCTGTAGCTGCAGTTTTGGATAATTTCATTGAAATGTGTTGAATACAAGTATGTACACCTACCGTCCGACTTATGACCTGCTCGACTTACGACCACTCGAATTACGACCGTGTTTTTTATGCCAAATTTCTGGGAAATAAACAACTATGTTGTACACAGTGTTTATCCTAAACCTTACAGTATAAAATACAGTACTAACAACATAAAAAGTAAAGTAAAATATGAAATACCAAAATAAAACAATAAAATAAAGTCATTACAAAAATGTTTTGTTGATATTCAGTAGTAAAGTTCGACTTACGACCATTTCGACTTGCAACCGGTTTCTCGGAACCGAACTCGGTCGTAAGTCGGATGGTAGGTGTATTATGTTTTTAAATTGCTGTCCAAGTACAGTGGAACCTCAAAAATCGAACTGCTCCCAACTCAACCAATTATGTAAATGTATTTTTGTAAGTGCTTTTATTAGTGTATTTTTGAGGGTCTGAAATAGACTAATCTAATTTACATTATTCCTGATGGGAATAAATTCATTCGGTAAAGGCACTCGAACAGCCTTCTGGACCGAAGAAAGTTCGATATTTGAGGTTCCACTGTACATTATAAGCCTAGGAATTGACCTTCACCTTTTGTTTCCATTTGGGTATCTTAAATTATAATGCAATACTATATTTCTATTTCTGTTTTATTAAAGTAATAAAAACTTATGTTTTGTAATGTATTTGCCATAATCGCAACTTGTTTAAATATTACAGTGAACAGCGAAGCAAATGCCCGGCGCATTGCCATGGTGGAGTCCTGTTTTGGGACCTCAGGGCAATCACTCAATGAACCAGGACGTGTCTTAGTGGGAGAGGGCGTGCTTACCAAGATGTGCCGAAAGAAGCCTAAACCGCGGCAGTTTTTCCTGTTTAACGATATTTTGGTATATGGCAATATTGTACTCAATAAAAAGAAGGTAAGTCGTATTTTTAATTATTTCTCTAACATAGTCTTGTAATTCTATGGTACAGAACTGTGTATGTATTATAGAGTTTCTATTTTCATTGTGTCTTTTGTCATAATAATACAGTATAATAATACATAATACAGTTTGATATACTGTGAAGTATGTTAAACCAGAGGTGTGATATACCTCACAGTAATTTTCTTTTTTTGGGTGTGCCATATGTGGCTAAACACTTAACCCTTTCTGGGTCTAGACTCCTGATCTCGAACTTACTCTCAGGGTCAAAGAATTTAAAAAAAAAAATTATGAAATGATAGAGAATCTTTTTCTGAAGGTAATGAAACCAAAAGTACAAAATTTGGTGGGAAAACTTACAGAATTACACTTTCACAAAGTTAGCAAGCTTGGCGATATTTACACACCGATTTTTGCCCACTTTGAGCCCTATTTTTGGCCAGTTCCACAGTTCGAGCCGAGCAGACTCATAGCTGTTTCACTAGTATTCCTTCTATTCTGTCGATTGAGTACAAGAAACCACTCATTTACGTATTTCAACTACCCAGTAAAGTAATCAGAAATAGGTAATTTGGTCAGTTTCATACAAAATTAAATAGATGCCAATTTAAAAATAGGGTTCAGAATAAACAATGTAAACATTCTTGGTACTAAAAATACATTTCCTCTGTTCCTTAGTCACCTCTCCAGGCCTCTCTTACATTATGCTTGCTTTCCATTTTGAATTTTTATTCTCACAAAAAATAAAAGATTTACTGTTATGCAGACTATTGCATTATTATAATAATTGTATAAATAATGTGAATGCATTCTTAACCCTTTGAGGGTTTCGGCCGTACTAGTACGGCTTACGACCCAGGGTTTTTAACGTACTAGCACGCCTAAATTCTAGCGCCTTCAAAACTAGTGGGAGAAAGCTGGTAGGCCTACATATGAAAGAATGGGTCTATGTGGTCAGTGTGCACAGTATAAAAAAAATCCTGCAGCACACAGTGCGTAATGAGAAAAAAAAAACTTTGACCGTTTTTTTGGAATAAAACAGCGATTTTGCACTGTATTTTCGTATGGTATTTATTGTTGTATTCTAGTTTTCTTGGTCTCATTTTATAGAATGGAAGACATATTACAGAAATTGAGATGATATTGACTGGTTTTACAATGAAAAGTACCTTGAAATTGAGCTCAAAGTAGCAGAAATGTTCGATTTTTACCAAAGTTCAAAAGTAAACAAATCATGCCAAGCGTCCAATACACGTCAACTGGTGAGTCTAATATTCTTTTGCAAGTACACCAATATTATTTATAACATTTTTTACACTAATGCAGTAGTCTGCATAACAGTAAATCTTCTATTTTTTGTGAGAATAAAAATTCAAAGTGGAAAGCAAAAGAATGTAAGAGGGGCCTTGAGACGTGACTAATGAACAGAGGAAATGCCATTTTAGTGCCAGGAATGTCTTTCTTGTTTATTCTGGACCCTATTCGGAAATTGGCATTTTTTGAAATTTGTGTGAAATTGGCAAAATTGCTAAATTCTGACCACTGTACTGGATAGTTGAAATTGGTAAATGGGTGGTTTCTTGCACTCAATCGATAGAAAAAATGGAGTTCTAGCGAAATATTCATGTTTTTTGTCGACTAGTACAGTGGAATTGGCCGAAAATGGGGCTCAAAGTGGGCAAGATCGCCGATGCATAAACATCGCCGAGACCGCTAACTTCGCGAGAGCATAATTCCGTAAGTTTTCCATCAAATTTCAAACTTTTGGTGTCATTGTGATTGGGAAAAGATTATCTTTTCATAAAAGAAAATTATTTTTTTTTTTTTTAATTTGGCCGACCCTGAAAACGAGTCTCGGAGAGGGCCTGTCGACCCTCAAAGGGTTAAATGTGTATTAGACTGGCCGGTTGGACAAGTATTGGACTAGTGATGTTATTTGTGTACTCTAGAATATCGGCAAGAATCGAACATTTCCGCTACTTTGAGCTCAATTTCAAGCTACTCTCAATCCAGAAACCAATCAAAATCATCCCTATTTCTGTAATATATCATCCATTCTGTCAAATGAGACCAAGAAACTGAGAATACAACCATTAAAACCATACAAAGATACACCACAAAGATACTGTTTTACACCAAAAACACAGTCTCATTTTTTTCTCATGCACTGCTTGCTGCAGGAATTTTTTTTTATATGGTGCACACTTACTGCATAGACCCATTCTCTCATGTAGACCCAAATTTATCACTCATGGCTTATCTGAATGAGCTGAGCTCATGGCATAGTACCTCGGAACAAACGTCGGCTTCAAAGCCGTAGTACAATAGGACTGACACCAAAAGGGTTAGTAAGTTTATTCAGGTATACACAAATACAATTACATAATTATCATACATAGCAGCATATGTGTAGAAACCTGGGATAACCCAGAAAAATCAGACAAAGTGATTTATTTCCATTGTGGTCCTGGAAAGAAACTTAATTTATGGTTTCTCTTATACAGTAAATACAAGTGCAAAAAAAAAAATAAAAAGTATATATATTTTTCAAATCATTGTCTTATCTGGGTTTTCACAAATGAATTTTAGTATTTGTTTTGCTACTTTCAGCTGTTATGATTCATATTTGTTTTCCAAGATGTATAAGTTTCTTTGCTCTACTTTGTAATGTATTATACTGTAATCATATTCTGTTAACTCTGATAGCCGTAGCACTGTGTAAATGTCATTTTAATATAAAAGTTTTTAGAAAATACAGTGGACCCCCGGTTAACGATATTTTTTCATTCCAGAAGTATGTTCAGGTGCCAGTACTGACTGAATGTGTTCCCATAAGGAATATTGTGAAGTAGATTAGTCCATTTCAGACCCCCAAACATACACGTACAAACGCACTTACATAAATACACTTATATAATTGGTCGCATTGGGAGGTGATCGTTAAGCAGGGGTCCACTGTACTCTTAGCATAGTGTAGAATATCTGGGTAATAGTTTGTGCATGGGAAATGTAAAATAATAATGGAGTACGATTGGAAATACTTTGGTTTAAATGAAGGAACGTTTATAATGGCTAGGGATAAAATTGCCAAGATTTGTATCTTAGTTCCAAGAACATTTATTTTCCAGTACAACAAGCAACATATAATCCCTCTGGAGGAAGTTCAACTTTCTTCGTTGGAAGACGATGGTCGTAAGTACTGTATAGTCTTTTTCTTAATTTTATCTTTGCTGGTGATTTATATTGCCAGGCATTATTTTATTATAGACTTAAGGTAAGGGGTTGCCTTGATACCAGTGAAGGGCTCTTGATTCAAGAAATTGGAGCTACCTTTGGATCATTTCTGATTATGTCGCATTCTCAGGCACTTTGTGTATCCTATTGGCTAAATGTTTCTCGATGAATATACAAGGTGCTATCAAAAAGTTCCCGGACTCAAATTTTTGCATGCTTCCTTGATAAACTATGGTGGCAGCACAGAACACACTGAGCAGTACACCTTTGTGAAGTAGTGTGGTTGATCATTCCGTTGGCATTTCTTATCGTGTTAGTATCTTGTAATTTTTGCATAATCTTTGAATGTGTGTGAAATTCTTTTTCAAGCTCAGGAAAACGGCTAGTGGAACTCGCAGAATGCTTTAGCAAGCATTTGGTGATGAAGCAATAAGTTGGGCACAATGTTTTGAATGGTTTTCTTGATTCAAAGCAGGACAAACATAGGTAGAGGATGATGAGCACTTGGCCATCCATAAGTGTCAAAAAACAGACACCAACATTGAAAAAGTTAAGAAGGGCATCCAGGACATTGTAAGTGCTATGGAAGTTTCTTATGGGTTGTGTCAAAGTGTTTTCACTGAAAATTTGAGTATGAGGTGAGTGGCTAATGAAATTTGTGGCCTCTTGCTGTCTCAAGATCAGAAAGATTAGTTTACTGGCCAAGAACAACATGACAGTCTACCCATGACTTCTAGTCTAGCTTCTGTGACTTCTTTCTCATCCCAAAACTAAAAATGGCACTCAAGGGGCAGCACTTTAATGACAAGGAGGAGATAAAGGCAGAATTGCAGACTGCACTAGACATCATTAGAAAAGAAGAATTCCAGAAATGTTTCAAGAAGTGGCAGAGGCACTGGGATCAGTGTATAGCCTTCCAAAGAGAGTACTTTAAGGGAGACAGCTTTATTTTTTTCTGTCAAGGAAATTTGATAGCACCTTGAAACAGTAACAGTAATAATCATCATTTATGCTTGTTTCATAAGCTACATAAGCAAAAATGTCAGAATTTATAATATTATGGTTGAAACTGGTATATACTTTAATATTAACAGGTTCAGAATAGAGAGATGCTAGGAAACATTTAGGAACTTCAGGACGTTTCAATCCCAATTGGGACCTTGTTCACTCCAGCTATATATGAGATAGAAACATAGGTACTGTATATACATGATCCAAGGGACATGTGAGTAAAGGAGCAGTGTAGAGGTTAGGTGAGGATCTGGAGTGAGGTGGTAGACAAGACTGTCAGGTGACCTGTGTACAACCTCACTGCAACTCACCTCACCACCCTGACTTGCATGTCTCATGGCTTACCTGCGTAAACCTTTAACTGACCAATAGGGGAGAGCAGGTGGCCTGTAATGGCGATTGTGGTGGAGAATGATGAGATTTTTTGCTGTGATCTGTAACCAAGGGACTTGACTGTTGTTTCTGAATCCTTTGACCCAGAGAATTTTGTCCAGCATTTCCCACATTCATTAAATCTAAGGTTTACTGTGCCTGCATTTCTTCCCTATGTATGATGATGATAATTTTATTCATCATGATATAATGTTTGTACAAAGATGGGTGACATTTAGTTGTGTGTGCAGAAAGTCCATAGTTATGCAGAGCATTTCAGACAAGGTCCCAGATCAGAAAGTTTCCGTATTAATATGTCTTAAGTAGGTAGGTAAGGTTTGTCAGGAAACAGGACAAGTGTTTCCTGAAGCAGGTCTGGGTCATATGACGACCTACAGCTGGAGCTTTTGGTCATCAAACTGAGGCCTTCCACTGGCTTACTGTTCCACCCCTTTAAAAATCATGGTTATAGTTATAATGACTATTTATGTCTTAAGTTTTTGCTTGTGTCCTCATGATATACAACTGACAAGCTAAAACAGTTTGAGAATTAAGCACATTACACTTTATTAATCAGCCGAAGACTGAAAAAAAATTGTAAAACAATTCCTTATATGAACTGAGTAATATTTTCTTAAGAATTTTTATTAAGGAAGCCTTTTTATATTTGGCTATGAAATAGTGACTTTTAGTAGATAAAATTCTTAGCTTAGGTGTATCATTCTTTCATTATTAATGAGAATTTTATTAATTATTATTTTTTAGTGCTTATGTATAATATTCCCAAATCATGTGTTATGTGAATTCTCTTAACAGCCTTTCGGAACGGATGGTTGATAAAGACGCCAATTAAATCATTTGCGGTGTATGCTGCCACAGCCACGGAGAAAGCAGAGTGGATGGCACATATTAACAAGTGTGTCACTGACCTACTACGCAAGAGTTAGTATCTGATGTAATGGTTGTGCTAATCTGTGGTTCTGCTAGCAGTGCTTCTCTGTGGTTCTGCTAGCAGTGCTTCTCTGTAGTTCTGCTAGCAGTGCTTCTCTGTGGTTCTGCTAGCAGTGCTTCTCTGTAGTTCTGCTAGCAGTGCTTCTCTGTGGTTCTGCTAGCAGTGCTTCTCTGTGGTTCTGCTAGCAGTGCTTCTCTGTAGTTCTGCTAGCAGTGCTTCTCTGTGATTCTGCTAGCAATGCTTCTCTGTGGTTCTGCTAGCAGTGCTTCTCTGTGGTTCTACTAGCAGTGCTTCTCTGTAGTTCTGCTAGCAGTGCTTCTCTGTGGTTCTACTAGCAGTGCTTCACTGTGGTTCTACTAGCAGTGCTTCTCTGTAGTTCTACTAGCAGTGCTTCTCTGTGGTTCTGCTAGCAGTGCTTCTCTGTAGTTCTGCTAGCAGTGCTTCTCTGTGGTTCTGCTAGCAGTGCTTCTCTGTGGTTCTGCTAGCAGTGCTTCTCTGTAGTTCTGCTAGCAGTGCTTCTCTGTGATTCTGCTAGCAATGCTTCTGTGGTTCTGCTAGCAGTGCTTCTCTGTGGTTCTACTAGCAGTGCTTCTCTGTAGTTCTGCTAGCAGTGCTTCTCTGTGGTTCTACTAGCAGTGCTTCACTGTGGTTCTACTAGCAGTGCTTCTCTGTAGTTCTACTAGCAGTGCTTCTCTGTGGTTCTACTAGCAGTGCTTCTCTGTGGTTCTACTAGCAGTGCTTCTCTGTGGTTCTACTAGCAGTGCTTCACTGTGGTTCTACTAGCAGTGCTTCTCTGTAGTTCTGCTAGCAGTGCTTCTCTGTGGTTCTACTAGCAGTGCTTCACTGTGGTTCTACTAGCAGTGCTTCTCTGTAGTTCTAGCAGTGCTTCTCTGTGGTTCTACTAGCAGTGCTTCTCTGTGGTTCTACTAGCAGTGCTTCTCTGTGGTTCTACTAGCAGTGCTTCTCTGTAGTTCTGCTAGCAGTGCTTCTCTGTGGTTCTACTAGCAGTGCTTCACTGTGGTTCTACTAGCAGTGCTTCTCTGTAGTTCTACTAGCAGTGCTTCTCTGTGGTTCTACTAGCAGTGCTTCTCTGTGGTTCTACTAGCAGTGCTTCTCTGTGGTTCTACTAGCAGTGCTTCACTGTGGTTCTACTAGCAGTGCTTCTCTGTGGTTCTACTAGCAGTGCTTCACTGGTTCTACTAGCAGTGCTTCTCTGTGGTTCTACTAGCAGTGCTTCACTGTGGTTCTACTAGCAGTGCTTCTCTGTGGTTCTACTAGCAGTGCTTCTCTGTGGTTCTACTAGCAGTGCTTCACTGTGGTTCTACTAGCAGTGCTTCTCTGTGGTTCTACTAGCAGTGCTTCTCTGTGGTTCTGCTAGCAGTGCTTCTCTGTGGTTCTACTAGCAGTGCTTCTCTGTGGTTCTACTAGCAGTGCTTCTCTGTGGTTCTACTAGCAGTGCTTCTCTGTGGTTCTACTAGCATGTTCTCTGTGGTTCTACTAGCAGTTGCTTCTCTGTAGTTCTACTAGCAGTGCTCTCTGGGTTCTACTACAGTGCTTCTCTGTGGTTCTACTAGCAGTGCTTCACTGTGGTTCTACTAGCAGTGCTTCTCTGTGGTTCTACTAGCAGTGCTTCACTGTGGTTCTATACAGTGCTTCTCTGTGGTTTATGCAGTGTTTCACTGTGGTTCTACTAGCAGTGCTTCTCTGTGGTTCTACTAGCAGTGCTTCTCTGTGGTTCTGCTAGCAGTTCTTCTTTGTGGTTCTGCTAGCAGTTCTTCTCTGTGGTTCTGCTAGCAGAGGGGATTTCACGAGGGGATGTTGTTTACATTTTTCATATTTTACCACAGTAGTTGTATTGAAAATGCAGTTTTATATTTTTAATGGTGCATTACTATTGTTAAAATTGGAATGAAATTTCAAAAAACCATTGGGTTTCAAAATTCAGTTTTAGAAAAGTTAAAGAAGTATTGCAAAAGCATACACAGTGGACCCTCGGTTATCCGCCGTTCTTGGTAATCGGCTGGTTTTTCGACTCCCGGTGATCAGCTGTTATTTCGGTGATTAGACATTTCGGACGCGTCCGTCCGCCAGCTGGGGCCGCTTGTGCATTAGTTTGGCTGTCTCTCTCGGTGCATGAGGAAGCTTCTGCTCATACATCCAAACATTTCACTTGTTTTCCATGTTTTTTGTGGGTTTTTTGCAGTGCAACTGCAACATAAGTAACCATGGCTCCAAAGAAACTTGCTAGTAAAGTTCCTGTGGTAAAGAAAGCAAGAAACACCATGGAATTTAAGTGTGAAGTGTAGCAGGCATGGAGGGAGTGTAGCAGGCATGCAGGAGCTGTAGCAAGCATGCAGGGAGTGTAGCAGGCATGCAGGGAGTGTAGCAGGCATGCAGGGAGTGTAGCAGGCATGCAGGGAGTGTAGCAGGCATGCAGGGAGTGTAGCAGGCATGCAGGGAGTGTAGCAAGCATACAGGGAGTGTAGCAGGCATGCAGGGAGTGTAGCAGACATGCAGGAACTGTAGCAAGCATGCAGGGAGTGTAGCAGGCATACAGGGAGTGTAGTGGGCATGCAGGGAGTGTAGTAGGCATGCAGGAAGTGTAGCAGACATGTATGAAGTGTAGCAGACATGCAGGGAGTGTAGCAGGCATACAGGGAGTGTAGCAGGCATGCAGGAAGTGTAACAGGCATGCAGGAAGTGTAACAGGCATTCCAGAAGCCAGCATTAGTCTTCAGTAAAGGTATGTAATTCTGATTTAATTGTTAAAAAATGACTTTCTTGTGAATATTTTTGTCCAGAACAGATCAATTGTATTTACATTAATTCTCATGGGAAATATTATTTTGGTTTTAGGCCAAGCTTCTGGAATGGATTACGGTCGATAACCGAGGGTTCACTGTACAGCCTCTCCTCACTTAGTGACATGCTCATTTACCGACGACTCGGACACGATGGGTTCTCTGACCAGTATACATACCTAATTAATGTATATTAGAGCTGATTTCCTTTATTCTGTTTATTACAATATAGAGTACAGTCTCTCCTTAATAATGATGGAGTTCTGTTTCTAAGAATAGATCAGTAAATGAATTGGTCATTAAGTGAGGAGCATGCTATACTGGTAGTGAGTTTGTGTCAACCATCTTTAGATGTTGTTTTAATGTCACCTTTGCACCATTTATAACATTTTTAGTATATTTTTAAATGTTTATACAATAGTGTAGCGTACATTGTAATAAATAGAATAGAGGAAATCAACTCTAATACACAATACTTAGGTATGCATAATGGTCAGAGAGCTGGTCATATGTCCGAGCAGTCATTAAGTGAGGAGAGACTGTACACTACTGTAAAAACATTTAAAAATATACTAAAATTCTTATAAATGGTGCAAAGGTGACGTTAAAACAACATCAGAGATGGTTGACACAAACCCATTACTATTATAGTATGCTCCTTGCTTAGCGACGAATTCATGTACCGACTTGGTCTTGGGAACAGAACTACATCGTTAAGTGAGGAGAGGAACCTCCACTCACGAGTTTAATCCGTTCCGTGACCTTGCTCGCATCTGGATTTACTCATTTGCAGAGTCACTTTTCCTCATTTAACCCTTAAACGGTCCAAACAGATCGACGTACAAATTCGTAGTGCTACAAAAGTAGATCTACTTTTTTTTACATATTTTCAAATATAACAAAAAAAAATGTAGATAAAAGTTTTTTTTACACGTTTTCAAACGTAAAACAAAAAAGAAGATCTACATTTTTTTACATACTTTCAGATGTTGAAAAAACGTATATATACGTTTGGACCATTTAAGGGTTAAATTAATTGAAATGCAATTAATTCGTTCCAGTGGAATTCTGTACTTCAATAATTTCCCTAACATCAACTTTATGGCTTATTTATCTATCACAATTCATCTAATATGACATAATAAACAATATAAATAACACAGAAACCTGATATATACTCTAGAATGAATAAAATAGTATGTCATTTATGTAGTGGTATCCTCGGCGGACGAGAGTTTGTCTGGAGACCGGACAAAATACTCCTTGAATAATTTCGCTGATATCATCTATACGGCTTATTTATCTATCACAATTCATCGTATATGACATAATAAACAATATGAATAACATAGAAACCTGATATATACTCTAGAATGAATAAAATATGTCATTATATATACAGGTGGAAGCGGCCACAACCGCTCCTGCTTTGTTGTGGTAAACACTGTGACGGCCTTTTGAAGCCATCTATTATAATTATTATTATTATATGTATTATATAGTTCATTATTATTATACAGTGGACCCCCCGGTTAACGATATTTTTTCACTCCAGAAGTATGTTCAGGTGCCAGTACTGACCGAATTTGTTCCCATAAGAAATATCGTGAAGTAGATTAGTCCATTTCAGACCCCCAAACATACACATACAAACGCACTTACATAAATACACTTACATAATTGGTCGCATTCGGAGGTAATCGTTATGCGGGGGTCCACTGTATTATTATATGTATTATTATTATTTTTATTATCACACTGGCCAATTCCCACCAAGGCAGGGTGGCCCGAAAAAGAAAAACTTTCACCATCATTCACTCCATCACTGTCTTGCCAGAAGGGTGCTTTACACTACAGTTTTTAAACTGCAACATTAACACCCCTCCTTCAGAGTGCAGGCACTGAACTTCCCATCTCCAGGACTCAAGTCCGGCCTGCCGGTTTCCCTGAACCCCTTCATAAATGTTACTTTGCTCACACTCCAACAGCACGTCAAGTATTAAAAACCATTTGTCTCCATTCACTCCTATCAAACACGCTCACGCATGCCTGCTGGAAGTCCAAGCCCCTCGCACACAAAACCTCCTTTACCCCCTCTCTCCAACCTTTCCTAGGCCGACCCCTACCCCCACCTTCCTTCCACTACAGACTGATACACTCTTGAAGTCATTCTGTTTCGCTCCATTCTCTCTACATGGGCCGAACCACCTCAACACCCTTCCTAGCCCTCTGGACAACAGTTTTGGTAATCCCGCACCTCCTCCTAACTTCAAACTATACGAATTCTCTGCATTATATTCACACCAACATTGCCCTCAGACATGACAGCTCCACTGCCTCCAGCCTTCCTCGCCTGCAACATTCATCACCCATGCTTCACCCCATATAAGAGCGTTGGTAAAACTATACTCTCATACATTCCCCTCTTTGCCTCCAAGGACAAAGTTCTTTGTCTCCACAGATCCTAAGTGCACCACTCACTCTTTTCCCCTCATCAATTCTATGATTCACCTCATCTTTCATAGACCCATCGCTGACACGTCACTCCAAATATCTGAATACATTCACCTCCTCCATACTCTCTCCCTCCAATTGATATTCAATCTTTCATCACCTAATCTTTTTGTTATCCTCATAACCTTACTCTTTCCTGTATTCACCTTTAATTTTCTTCTTTTGCACACCCTACCAAATTCATCCACCAATCTCTGCAACTTTCTTTTAGAATCTCCCAAGAGCACAGTGTCATCAGCAAAAGAGCAGCTGTGACAACTCCCACTTTGCGTGTGATTCTTTATCTTTTAACTCACGCCTCTTGCCAAGACCCTCGCATTTACTTCTCTTACAACACCATCTATAAATATATTAAACAACCACGGTGACATCACACATCCTTGTCTAAGGCCTACTTTTACTGGGAAATAATTTCCCTCTTTCCTACATACTCTAACTTGAGCCTCACTATCCTCGTAAAAACTCTTCACTGCTTTCAGTAACCTACCTCCTACACCATACACTTGCAACATCTGCCACATTGCCCCCCTATCCACCCTGTCATACGCCTTTTCCAAATCCATAAATGCCACAAAGACCTCTTTAGCCTTATCTAAATACTGTTCACTTATATGTTTCACTGTAAACACCTGGTCCACACACCCCCTACCTTTCCTAAAGCCTCCTTGTTCATCTGCTATCCTATTCTCCGTCTTACTCTTAATTCTTTCAATAATAACTCTACCATACACTTTACCAGGTATACTCAACAGACTTATCCCCCTATAATTTTTGCACTCTCTTTTATCCCCTTTGCCTTTATACAAAGGAACTATGCATGCTCTCTGCCAATCCCTAGGTACCTTACCCTCTTCCATACATTTATTAAATAATTGCACCAACCATTCCAAAACTATATCCCCACCTGCTTTTAACATTTCTATCTTTATCCATCAATCCCGGCTGCCTTACCCCCTTTCATTTTACCTACTGCCTCACGAACTTCCCCCACACTCACAACTGGCTCTTCCTCACTCCTACAAGATGTTATTCCTCCTTGTCCTATACACGAAATCACAGCTTCCCTATCTTCATCAACATTTAACAATTCCTCAAAATATTCCCTCCATTTATTATATGTATATTATTTATGTATTATTATTATTATTATTATTATTATTATTATTATTATTATTATTACATTATAAATAATTTTATTTTTATTCACACAAAAAATAGAAGATTTACTGTTATGCAGACTAATGCATTATTGTAATAATTGTATAAATAATGTCAACCCATTCACGACTGCATATTGGAATGGACAGTGATGTCATTTGTTTACTCTTGAACATCACCAAAGAATTGAACATTTCTGTATTTAGGTTTTTTTTTTAAAAATAAAAATTATTTGTTTTTAAATATATTTTTTTTAAAAAAATAAACCAAAAAAAAAAAAAGGGTAAAAAAATGAAAATAAAAAAAAATTTTAATTGTAAAAGTAAACCCCATTTTTTTTGACCCCTTTTTTTTTTGGGGTTTTAAAAATCTTCCCTTCAAACCCCCAAAGTTTCTGAAAATTTTCCAACAAAAAAAGGACCAAGAAAGAGAAAACCCCCTAACCAAGGAACCTTTTAGGGCTTTAGGGAAATTCCTCCTATAAAAAAAAAACCCCAAATTGTTGTATTTAAAAACTCCCTAGGGCCAAAGTAGATTTCCCACAAAAAAAATTTCCTCCTGGTGGCAAACCCCCTTAAACCGACCCCCTTGCCCCCGGGGGGGAAATTTCGCCGGTTTTTAACATTGCCTTCAACTGCCGAAATTGGAACAGCCTGGATGGCCACAAGGGTTAGGGGTTTCCCCCTGGGAAAAATCAAAGAAATTTATTATTTTTTAAACCCATAAAAAAAATACCACATGGGAAATAAGAAAATAAAGCCTGAGAACTTTCGTGAAGATGATGTGTGTGTAAGTACATAAAAGCACTCAGGTTTTATTTCATGTTTTCACACTGATATTTTTTTTATTATTTGTAATCACACATTTTATTGCACTTTCTTCCATGATTAACTATATCTAATTATATTTTGACTGGAGAGTAAAATTATAATTGACAATGTATCATTGATGTATAATTTATTGCATGACATTAAAATTGCAAAAACCTGCCAACAGGTGGCAAGAAAGCGGCCGAGAAGCACGCTGCTGTGTGGGTGCCAGACAGTGAAACACAAGTGTGCATGCACTGCAAGAAAACACAGTTCACGTTAATAAACAGGAGGGTACGTATCGAGAAAGAGACAGGGTAAGCGTGGCGCGGGCTGAGCTGGGTAGGCCTATGCCACTAGGTGTCAGCACCATAGTGGCATGAAATATGAACCCAGCTGGGCATACATACGTAGATATTATAGCTACTTAACGTATTTTCTGTCATGTGAGGCATGCTTTTTTTTTCCAAATAAAAAACTTGGAAAAATCATCCTGCACCTTATATGGTCAGGATCAAGGGTAGGCTTTGAGTTATGCTTTTAGCAGTTGTTTATTAACGTTATGTTGCAGCTGTTTGAAAACATCGTGCCAGCAAGCAGCCCACTTGTGCACCTCATATGCGGAAAATATGGTAATTTGTGTTATTTTAGGCAGTGCTGAATATGATCATTCATATTAGAAATTTTTAATTTTATTGGAAGTTATTTTGAAATAGTTTACATTTTGAGCATATCATCATTCCTTAAAAATAAAAGGCATATATTTTCAAAGTATATTTTTTAGTAAATTGCTGTTCTTCAATGCAGATAATATAATACAGTGGACCCCCGCTTTACGATCACCTCCCAATGCGACCAATTATGTAAGTGTATTTATGTAAGTGCATTTGTACGTGTATGTTTGGGAATTCTGAAATGGACTAATCTAATTCACAATATTCCTTATGGGAACAAATTCATTCAGTACTGGCACCTGAACATACTTCTGGAATGAAATAATATCGTAAACCGGGGGTCCACTGTACAATGGTACCTCGGGATACGAATTTATTTCGTTCCAGAAGGCTGTTTGGGTGCTGATACCGAACGAATTTGTTCCCATAAGGAATAATGTAAATTAGATTAATGTTTCAGATTCCCAAAAATACACTTACAAAAGCACTTGCATAAATACACTTACATAATTGTTCGTATCCTGTGGTACCACTGTACTATGTTATTAAGTTTGACTCTCTCTACTGTTACCATAATGGTTGATGAACTCAAATTAAGTTGTAATAAACAACTGTCAGTGAATAAACAGAAGAGTGTATGAGGAGCTCTAACCACGGTCCATAAATTGACAGTCCGAGCCCGGGTTAGCCTAGATGATAGAGAGTCAGACTGTAAATTTACAGAACTGCAGTTTGAGCCCCTCGTCCACCCTTCTGTTCATTTATAATGGTTAATGTTTAACTATGTGCTGTGAACATTCACAATCAACCCAAAAAAAAAACTGTCATATATTTTGAGTTTTTTCTTTAGTATTTTGTGAAAAAGGCAAGAGCAGTATAGTATATTGTAGGAGGATCCTGCATGTGCTATCTTAGTAAGGGCAGACACTTGCAGTAATTTCTCAATTTTAATGAACTGATGGGAAAGAGGATGAGCAGGTGGCCAGTCACAACAATTATCATGGACACAGATAAGGTTGCTTTGCCATGATCAAAAAAATAACAGACAATTATGTAACTGACAGAAGTCTTTTAAGTACAGTAGTACATTGAATCTTTGTTGATGATGTTTTGCCCACCTAGGGAGCTTTGTCAAGTCACTAACAGATGTTTGTAACTTAATGAGGATGCCCCATGAGTGAAACATTATTAACAAAAGTTCCATATAACTGGGCTTGTCTCCATACAGTAAGTCTTCGACTTAAAAACACGTTGAAATCTTCTGTATTGTCTAAAATATCATTATTATACACATTTCAGGAGATATCCAATGTGTTTGTAAGTCGAGGAATTACTGCTACGGTGTAGATATCTGGTACCGTTACTTACCTATGTCCCATCTTCAGTGAGTTAAGTGAATCAGGGAGTGTGACAGACATACACAGTAGCTATTGATTATTTAAAATCACTGAATGACCCTAATGGGTTTAACTTTATATATAAACAGCCATCTCCTGTCAAGGCAGGGTGACCCAAGAAGATAACACATTCACCGTCATTCAGTCATTTCCTGTCTTTCATTACCAGATGTAAAAAGAAGTGGGCTTGTATCATAATCAGACTTCCCTCTTGACTACAGCATTATAATGTTGATTTTTCACTAGCACTGAATGACTCATATTGGTTTAACTTTTTTTGTGTGTTCATGAGAATATCATGATATAAATTATCGAGGACCAACTTTAAATGGCCATATTGTTATAGCATCACTGCCGCAAGTGTGGGAAAGTTGTTTGTGGGCCGTGCTCCAGTAAGAAGGTGATTCTCACTCACCAGTCGAACAAACCCCTCCGTGTGTGCCTTACCTGCCATGATGAAATATCTTCGTCGCAATCACAGACTGGCAATTCAACACCTGTTAATTCAAGTAAGTTTAGTAATACTGTATCATAAACTAATATTATGCTCTAACTTTAGTTAGTTGGGTACTAATGCTTGGGAATGGTTGCTCTTATATCACCATACTTATTACTCATTTAGTTATAGACACCTATACACATGTTATCCTTTCTTTTAACATGTATATGGTAGTGTTATTCTTACAAGTAGTTATAGTATTGCTTTTAATAATGGAGACTGTACGTTATTGGGAATATGAATGAGGAGAATTTTATCTAAAGTTTTCAATTTAATAGCATGCTTTAATTAAAGGCGCAGTAGGTTCTTTGCAGTGGCCTTACGTTGTTAATTTCTTTTTGCTGCCTTTGCTTAAAATGCTTTATGACAGTGTGGTGGCTTGTATGGTCTACAGTGGCAGGTAGGATGGATGACATCTTCTCAGAACCAGCATGTGAAGAAAGGGACAAAGAATCTGGTGATGATGATGATGATGATGAGGATGATGATATGACCATTGTCTTGATGGAGGAACCATTTGAAAACACAAACCCCATGCCTCCACCTCGACGCCCAAGTCGTGGGCGCACCTTGGAGGAGGCTTCCGTGGGAGAGAGCAAGGAGGCTGACCTCATTGATATAAATTGTGATCTGTTTGGGAAGCCCTCGGAGGATCTAGACGACGATGCTCCTCCTCCTACCCTTTGGTGGGACGATATTGGTATGGTGCACTCAAAACAGTATCGGTGAAAGTGTACTGTACTGTCTCTTAGGTGTCGGTTATATCTTCTGGATGGAGAACAATCCAAGTCATTTTGATTTTTGTGTTCTTGTGTTTGGTACTGTAGCTGACTGGCACTTTGTGAGATTGGTTATTCTCAAATTGTGTTGTACATCATGACTGGGATTAATTGTGGGCATGTGACACTGTTGTTGTCTTTGTTTATTTCATATTTGCTAGATTTGAATACTGTACTGTAATAGCCATCTTCTTTTTCCATATCTTCTGTGGTTGTCTAATTTTATTGCATCACCTAAATGTATTTAATCATTGGTGTTTTACTATAGTACTTTGTTAACCTCTTCTTGAACTCTTAATAGTGTATTTATTCACCAGTTAATTTTCATGCCATACCTGATATTTCCCAACAAAGCAATATGATCATAGCAAAAAACCCTTCACCATCATTTTTTTTCCTTATTTGGCTTTCCAGAATTGCATGGCTGTCACTATTCAAAAGATCCTTCAAACTGCAACATTTACTGTATATTTTTTTCTTTTCCTTCCTGCTTAGAGTATTGCTTTGGAAAGTTGCTATCATGCACTTGTTGCTCATTTTTAGATGTAGGTAGCATCATTTATGATATGATTACAGTAGTTTTGAAATACTGTATATATACTGGGGGATCCTCAACCTATGAATGCTGTAGGTCACAAATATCCACACTTAGAATTAGTTAAGTTTATGCTTAACAAAGACAAAAGCAGTTTGGACACTATTTAGACAATACTTCACTTTGGAGACTAAGCTTCTTTATGTCTTGCTCTCCAAGTGGAATGTCTGAAGAAAATGTCCTAACTGCTTGTGTATCTGCTTAACAATTTCTGTATTTTATACCTCACGTCTAAAATTGTACGACCGCCAATGCGCAGTGACGATCAAGTGGAAAATGTGACCATCCTCTATACTGTTACTTTCTATATGAATGTTGGTTCTGTATTACAAACAATTCTTGCAAGTTGAAACACCAGGAATGCAACTCTTATATAATTTGGTGACTCCCTGTGTAGGGCACCTTTATGTTGGATCTCTTCTGATTGAAGTGTCTCCTATACTTTTTTAGTGTTAGTGGAAAACTTTTGAACTCTTAACTTATTAATTTTCTTTCTTGTGAAATTTTAAGAGTTTTTATAAAAATTTAGATGAGATGTGTTTTGTACTCTTTTTGTATTGTTATTATTGTTATTATGCTTCCGTTGTTCTATCAGAAATGTTCTATTGTTCATATATTTTTTCTTGTATCATTTAAAGTGATTATGTGTGAGTGAGGTGAAAGTATTGAATGATGATGAAAGTATTTTCTTTTTGGGGATTTTCTTTCTTTTTAGGTCACCCTGCCTCGGTGGGAGACGGCCAACTTGTTAAAAAAGAAAAAATCCATTTCACTGTCTTTGTTTTTAATCAGCAAATTATGTTGATTATTTTGAGTTTCAGTTTCGTAGAACTCCAGAGTGATGAGTAGATTTAAAAAAAACTTCTTTGACATTCACAAAGTAATTTATCAGCACCATCTACTGTATACAATTGTGAAAGTATATTTATACTTTGTGATAAGCCTGGAAAGTGACCCACTATGAACCTGGCATGTGTGTTAGGCTTTAGCAACACTTCAAAAAATATCACTGGAAATACTGTAATTTTTAATTATCTTCATAAGCATGGAAGTAAATTTATGCATGTGGAATACATTTATTTTAGTGCTTTAAATATATTTTTGTGGCATAGGTTACATTTGTGGCTGGGTTTTACCTCTTTTTTTTTTTTCATTACAAAAACTATTGTAGAAGGCTAGTGCATGCTACACTATTTTACTTTCTAATTTTGCAGACATGAAGGAGCCAGGTTCTGAGGGCAAATACGAAGCAGGTTAGTTTATGTAAATCCTGTATGTAATTATCACGAACAAGCGATACAAGATGCAAAACAACCATGGGGGAGTTGAATGTTACCTCTAGGCCTTTTGTGTTACAATCAACACATCAGAAGCTTGCAAAGTTGCAGATATAGAATGGGAAATCCAGGAAGGTCCATTCATGGATTTCCTACACTATTTCTGCAACATTTCAAGCTCCTGATGATGTGTTAATCACAGCATGAAAAGCCTAGAGCTAACATTCAACTCCCCCTGTAGTTGTTTTGCATGTAAATCCTGCTTAAAAGTGACTTGGCAATCTGGCTTTGTTGGGGTTACATTATTGTTGTTATCGTTGTAGGTGGTGGTGGTAATAATGCATGCATGCTCTATTTTGCCGCCTCTTGTCTTTCACAGGCTTAGGGGATCCAGCGACTGATAGCCACAATGAAGGTTAGTTCTTGGGCTAATTCTTTTCAAAATAAAGTTGAAATATGACTTATTTTTTATCCCCTTGTTTTTTACCTTGTCACATTAAGGTTGATGGGAGCCTTGTGCATGCATTATTTTCATTTTTGATTTTACAGACCCAAAGGGGCAAGTTTTTTATGACAGCACTCAAGAAGGTAAGATTTTGAAAAGCTTATTTAACCTCTTATTTAGAATGCTGAATTTAAAAATTATAATTATTTGGGATTTTATAGTTTTTGAGTGCCTGTTCTTACAAGAAATTCACAGGTGTAAAAGTTTTGCATGCTTTACTGTTCTTGGTTTTCCAGACATGAAGAATCCAGTTTCTGATAGCAGTAAAGAGGAAGGTAATGGCTTGATTTTTAGTTTATGATGTCCATTTTGTTTATTAAGCATCTGTCAATAGATTTTCAGTTTCAGTGCAAATAAAACTACATTACTGTTTTTTTTTTTTATTTTACACACTGCCTGACTTCCACTGAGGTAGTGTGACCCAAAAAAAGAAGGAAGAAAATTTCTTCTATTTACATTTAGTAATTTATACAGAAGGGGTTATTAGCTCCTTGGTCCCAGCATTTTAGTCGCCTCTTACGACACACCTGATACGGAGGAAGGCTTCTTCTCCATTTCTCCTTAGAGATACAGTGGACCCCCGCATACCGATTTTAATCCGTGCAAGAGGGCTCATTGGTATGCGAAATAATCGGTATGCGAATGAATTTTCCCCATAAGAAATAATGGAAATCAAATTAATCCGTGCAGACACCCAAAAGTATGAAAAAAAATTTTTTACCACATGAAATATACATTTTCCTACACACAAAGAGAAGGATACATGCACAATAGTAGAGTAGTACATGCACGGTATATATTGTGCATGTACTAGTCTACTAAATGAAGAATAAATGACACTTACCTTTATTGAAGATGCAGCAATGACTGATGAGACACTGTGTCCTGGGAGTGCCTTTTCATCCCTGAGTACTGTAGGTCCTGTTTGGCATTTTCTTCCAGAACAGGCCTTATCACATTGTGTATGTCACTACGATTCTTAAATCTTTCAAACCAACCTTTGCTGGCTTTAAATTCACCAATATGAGCACTAGTTCCAGGCATTTTTCCCTGTTCACCTGGGTGTTAGTCGACTGGTGTGGGTTGCATCCTGGGAGACAAGATTAAGGACCCCAATGGAAATAAGTTAGACAGTCTTCTATGACACTGACTTTTTTGGGTTATCCTGGGTGGCAAATCCTCTGGGGTTAATTGTTTCTTGGTATTCTCAATAAGCCACACCAACAACAGTGCTACAGCAGCAGCAGACGATGCTACAGCAGCAGCAGCAGCTGACAGTGCTACAGCAGCAGCAGACGATGCTACAGCAGCAGCAGACGATGCTACAGCAGCAGCAGCAGCTGACAGTGCTACAGCAGCAGCAGACGATGCTACAGCAGCAGCAGACGATGCTACAGCAGCAGCAGACGATGCTACAGCAGCAGCAGCAGCTGTACCACCAATAGTAGCGATGGTTGATTGGGGTTCATTATACAACCTGGCCAGCTCGGAGACACGCACTCCACTTTCATACTTATCAATGATCTTTTTCTTCATCTCTATAGTATAGTATAGTATTTCGATAATATTTCTCACCCTTTTTACCACAGGGTTGGCACTAGAAGCTTTCGTGGGGCCCATGGTCACTTATTTTCCAGATAAAATCACCAAAAACACTGTAATAATATGAAATGTTACGATTGTATGCTTGGATGCTACCGCGGAGGCTGGCTGGTAAACAATGCCACCGGCGGAACATGTGAGGCTGGCTAAGGCGCACATTGGACGCGTCTCGGACGAACAGCGGTGAGCGGGTTTTTAAGCGGTATGCGAGGCAAAATTTTTGCGATTAAAGCAAGTGGTATGCGGATTAATCGTTATGTGATGCCAACGGTATGCGGGGGTCCACTGTATATTTATATGTATATTTAAGGCAGAATATGGTTTGCTGATGTTATGAATGAAAAGAAGTTGGATGTCCTGGCTCTAAGCGAAACAAAGCTGAAGGGGGTAGGAGAGTTTCAGTGGGGGGAAATAAATGGGATTAAATCTGGAGTATCTGAGAGAGTTAGAGCAAAGGAAGGGGTAGCAGTAATGTTAAATGATCAGTTATGGAAGGAGAAAAGAGAATATGAATGTGTAAATTCGAGAATTATGTGGATTAAAGTAAAGGTTGGATGCGAGAAGTGGGTCATAATAAGCGTGTATGCACCTGGAGAAGAGAGGAATGCAGAGGAGAGAGAGAGATTTTGGGAGATGTTAAGTGAATGTATAGGAGCCTTTGAACCAAGTGAGAGAGTAATTGTGGTAGGGGATCTGAATGCTAAAGTAGGAGAAACTTTTAGAGAGGGTGTGGTAGGTAAGTTTGGGGTGCCAGGTGTAAATGATAATGGGAGCCCTTTGATTGAACTTTGTATAGAAAGGGGTTTAGTTATAGATAATACATATTTTAAGAAAAAGAGGATAAATAAGTATACACGATATGATGTAGGGCGAAATGACAGTAGTTTGTTGGATTATGTATTAGTAGATAAAAGACTGTTGAGTAGACTTCAGGATGTACATGTTTATAGAGGGGCCACAGATATATCAGATCACTTTCTAGTTGTAGCTACACTGAGAGTAAAAGGTAGATGGGATACAAGGAGAATAGAAGCATCAGGGAAGAGAGAGGTGAAGGTTTATAAACTAAAAGAGGAGGCAGTTAGGGTAAGATATAAACAGCTATTGGAGGATAGATGGGCTAATGAGAGCATAGGCAATGGGGTCGAAGAGGAATGGGGTAGGTTTAAAAATGTAGTGTTAGAGTGTTCAACAGAAGTTTGTGGTTACAGGAAAGTGGGTGCAGGAGGGAAGAGGAGCGATTGGTGGAATGATGATGTAAAGAGAGTAGTAAGGGAGAAAAAGTTAGCATATGAGAAGTTTTTACAAAGTAGAAGTGATGCAAGGAGGGAAGAGTATATGGAGAAAAAGAGAGAGGTTAAGAGAGTGGTGAAGCAATGTAAAAAGAGAGCAAATGAGAGAGTGGGTGAGCTGTTATCAACAAATTTTGTTGAAAATAAGAAAAAGTTTTGGAGTGAGATTAACAAGTTAAGGAAGCCTAGAGAACAAATGGATTTGTCAGTTAAAAATAGGAGAGGAGAGTTATTAAATGGAGAGTTAGAGGTATTGGGAAGATGGAGGGAATATTTTGAGGAATTGTTAAATGTTGATGAAGATAGGGAAGCTGTGATTTCGTGTATAGGGCAAGGAGGAATAACATCTTGTAGGAGTGAGGAAGAGCCAGTTGTGAGTGTGGGGGAAGTTCGTGAGGCAGTAGGTAAAATGAAAGGGGGTAAGGCAGCCGGAATTGATGGGATAAAGATAGAAATGTTAAAAGCAGGTGGGGATATAGTTTTGGAGTGGTTGGTGCAATTATTTAATAAATGTATGGAAGAGGGTAAGGTACCTAGGGATTGGCAGAGAGCATGCATAGTTCCTTTGTATAAAGGCAAAGGGGATAAAAGAGAGTGCAAAAATTATAGGGGGATAAGTCTGTTGAGTGTACCTGGTAAAGTGTATGGTAGAGTTATAATTGAAAGAATTAAGAGTAAGACGGAGAATAGGATAGCAGATGAACAAGGAGGCTTTAGGAAAGGTAGGGGGTGTGTGGACCAGGTGTTTACAGTGAAACATATAAGTGAACAGTATTTAGATAAGGCTAAAAAGGTCTTTGTGGCATTTATGGATTTGGAAAAGGCATATGACAGGGTGGATAGGGGGGCAATGTGGCAGATGTTGCAAGTGTATGGTGTAGGAGGTAGGTTACTGAAAGCAGTGAAGAGTTTTTTACGAGGATAGTGAGGCTCAAGTTAGAGTATGTAGAAAAGAGGGAAATTTTTTCCCAGTAAAAGTAGGCCTTAGACAAGGATGTGTGATGTCACCGTGGTTGTTTAATATATTTATAGATGGGGTTGTAAGAGAAGTAAATGCGAGGGTCTTGGCAAGAGGCGTGGAGTTAAAAGATAAAGAATCACACACAGGGTGGGAGTTGTCACAGCTGCTCTTTGCTGATGACACTGTGCTCTTGGGAGATTCTGAAGAGAAGCTGCAGAGATTGGTGGATGAATTTGGTAGGGTGTGCAAAAGAAGAAAATTAAAGGTGAATACAGGAAAGAGTAAGGTTATGAGGATAACAAAAAGATTAGGTGATGAAAGATTGAATATCAGATTGGAGGGAGAGAGTATGGAGGAGGTGAACGTATTCAGATATTTGGGAGTGGACGTGTCAGCGGATGGGTCTATGAAAGATGGGGTGAATCATAGAATTGATGAGGGAAAAAGAGTGAGTGGTGCACTTAGGAGTCTGTGGAGACAGAGAACTTTGTCCTTGGAGGCAAAGAGGGGAATGTATGAGAGTATAGTTTTACCAACGCTCTTATATGGGTGTGAAGCATGGGTGATGAATGTTGCAGCGAGGAGAAGGCTGGAGGCAGTGGAGATGTCATGTCTGAGGGCAATGTGTGGTGTGAATATAATGCAGAGAATTCGTAGTTTGGAAGTTAGGAGGAGGTGCGGGATTACCAAAACTGTTGTCCAGAGGGCTGAGGAAGGGTTGTTGAGGTGGTTCGGACATGTAGAGAGAATGGAGCGAAACAGAATAACTTCAAGAGTGTATCAGTCTGTAGTGGAAGGAAGGCGGGGTAGGGTCGGCCTAGGAAGGGTTGGAGGGAGGGGGTAAAGGAGGTTTTGTGTGCGAGGGGCTTGGACTTCCAGCAGGCATGCGTGAGCGTGTTTGATAGGAGTGAATGGAGACAAATGGTTTTTAATACTTGACGTGCTGTTGGAGTGTGAGCAAAGTAACATTTATGAAGGGATTCAGGGAAACCGGCAGGCCGGACTTGAGTCCTGGAGATGGGAAGTACAGTGCCTGCACTCTGAAGGAGGGGTGTTAATGTTGCAGTTTAAAAACTGTAGCGTAAAGCACCCTTCTGGCAAGACAGTGATGGAGTGAATGATGGTGAAAGTTTTTCTTTTTCGGGCCACCCTGCCTTGGTGGGAATCGGCCAGTGTGATAATAAAATAAAATAATAATAATGGTTACCGAGTGTGATTTTGCTCTTAATGCATCATAGTACTAATAGGATTCTAGTGTGTAGTAGGCCCTAGATATGTAAGGACTTCAACCTCTCATAAGTATTACTCTTGCATAGATCAACCTTCTCAACTTTTTAAGCTTTTTTACCTAAAACAACTCAACCTATAGTAGAGTATAAACGGTGAGTTTTAATGTCGGTTGTATTGCCTTTGTCTGCTGTGCTCTTTATCTAATGCTTTGTGTCTTGTGTTCAGAATTTATTGAAGATGTATGTCACACAAATAACCCGCACATAAAAGAGAGAAGCTTACGACGACGTTTTGGTCCGACTTGGACCATTGACAAAGTCACACTAACCAGAGGTGGAGCAGGACGGCTATATATAGGCAGGAAGAGGTGGTGGTAGTAGTAGTAGTAGTAGATCTCTTTCTGACAGACTTAGGGAGCACAAAAATAGTGTCAGGCTTGCCGACACTAACAATGCTCTTTTCTGTCACGTCAGAGATCATAGCCATCCTATTGATTGGTCTTCTGCTAAAACTGTCTTCCCTACTTCCAACTCGAACAGTCGCCGTCTAGTTGAATCCTCTCTAATACACAACTTTCCTTGTATGAACCTTAGCCCTGGCTTCGTCTCTGTAGATGCCTTCCTCTCCCACTACATTGTAAAATGCTCCAACCTTCAGAACACCCGTGACTTAACCTGAATCCTCATTTTTTCTTTTTCTTTTTCTTCTTCCTCTTCCCCTTTCCTCTTTCCTTTTCTCCTCTGGGTTGTCTTTCTTTCTCCTGTCTCGTGTTTCTGTTCCTTCATTTATTTCACCACTTCCCCTTTCACGCACCTCTGTGCACTTGCTCTCCCTCTGTGGGCATCTAGCTCTCTTGCAGTGCTCCCCTTCCTTTGTATTTGACTGGCTCGTCATCCTTATTTCCCACTTCTACCACTACCACTACTACTACCTCTTCTTCTTCTACTACTACTACAACTACTGATGAAATTAAGACATGTGCGGCATCTGGTTGTCTTTGTTGTGGACGTTTCGCCATCCAGTGGCTGGCTGGATGGCGAAACGTCTACGATGGGGATGCCCAGGTGTTGTGCATGTGTCTTGATTTCATCTTGTCGGTATTATAAATAATTCTTGTACTACTACTACTACTACTACCACCACCTCTTCCTGCCTATATATAGCCGTCCTGCTCCACCTCTGGTTAGTGTGACTTTGTCAATGGTCCAAGTCGGACCAAAACGTCGTCGTAAGCTTCTCTCTCTTTTATGTGCGGGTTATTTGTGTATCGTTCCAGTCACAGTATTGTGCCTTTTTGTTATTTATAAGATGTTTGTCCATAGAGTATTATATTGTTACAGTTTATACCATGTGGTTATTATTGTTGTGATTATGTTTAACCCTTTCAGGGTCCAAACCGTAGATCTACGTCATGAGCTCAGCTCACTCTGATAAGCTGTGAGTGGTTAATTTTGGCCTAGATATGAGAGAATACATCTATGTGGTATGTGTGCACCACATAAAATAAATCCTGCAGCGCACAGTGCATAATGAGAGAAAAAACTGAGACCGTAATTTTCGATTAAAACAGCAACTTTGCTGTGTTTTTTCGTATGTTTTTTATAGCTGTATTTGCGATTTCTTGGTCTCATTTGATAGAATGAAAGATATATAATACAGAAATAGAGATGATTTTGATTGGTTTTAGTACTGGAAATGGCTTGAAACTGAGCTCAAAATAGCGGAAATGTTAAATTTTTGCCGATGTTCAAGAGTAAACAAATGACCTCACACGTCTAATACATGCCTGCTGGTGGATCTAATGTACGTTGACAAATGTGGTGATATTATTTATACAATTATTACAGTATTGCATAACAGTAAATCTTCTGGTTTGAATAAAAATTAATTATGTGAATAAAAAATCAAAATGGAATTCATTAGTAAAGCCTGAAAACATAACTAATGAATAGAAGAAATGTTAGTTTAGTGCCAGAAATGCCTGCATTGTTTATTCTGGGCTCTATTTTGAAATTGGAGTACTATTGGGAACTTTGCATTAAATTGGCCAAATTACCAATTTCCAATCACTTTATTTTGTAGTTGAAATAGTTGATCTGGCAATTTCTTGTGCTCAATCTATAGAATAGAAGTAATACTAGTGAAATAGCTAAGAATTTGATCGACTGGTATAATGTAATTGGCCTAAAATGAGAGTCAAAGTCGGCAAAATCGCCAATGCGTAAATATCCCTGACGCATCAAAATTCACGAGAGCATAATTTCGTCAATTTTCTATCAAATTTCGTACTTTTTTGTTTTATTACCTTCAGAAAAAGATTCTCTACCATTTCATAAGAAAAAGTAACAAAAATTTTTTTTTTTTAAATTCTTGGACACTGGTGCACACTTTGAAATTTGGCCTCTGGACCCTGAAAGGGTTAACTGTCATATTTTCTTGAAGTTTTGAAGATTGTATTGTGTTTAAGAAGCAGCCGAAATATTTATGCTGCTTTAATCCTTTACATAATCATGTTCTGTAGATTTTAGGCACGAAGTTTACTGTTTTATTTGTCCAGGTTAATAATTTATAATTGATTTACAAAACCTGTGTGTTCCCTCTTCTTTATTCTTCTTTATCCTCTTCCTCTTCTTCTCTCTTTTGCTCTTCCCCCTCCCCATTATTAAAGTTAAGAATTCTTAATATATATTTTCCATGCTACCTACCTGGAGTCTACCTGGAGGTCATTCCGGGGGTCAGAATAGGCTAAAAGTAGTTATCTTTCTTCTCATTTTCCAAGCCTGGCCCTAGCAATAACTTGATTAAAAGTTTTGTACATTTTTTTTTTGTATCACCGGCCATATCCCACTAAGGCAGTGTGACCTAAAAAGAAAAATTTTTGTTTTTCTTTTTTAATTTAGTAATTTATACAAGAGAAGGGGTTTACTAGCCCCTTGTATGTATGTAAATATATGCAGTATAAGTATATATTAGACAACATTCATAGTGGGTAAATTGGAAGCTCCTGTGGGCCAGGGTTAGTAAGTTTATTTAGGTACAGATACACATAAGTACAATTATCATACATAGTAACATATATGTAAACTATCTAGCATGTACTTATAAGTAGGGTGGGTCAGCCTAGGAAAGGTTGGAGGGAGGAGGTAAAGGAGGTTTTGTGTGCGAGTGGCTTGGACTTTCAGCAAGCATGCGTGAGCTTATTTGATAGAAGTGAATGGAGACAAGTGGTTTTTAATACTTGACATGCTGTTGGAGTGTGAGCAAAGTAACATTTATGAAGGGATTCAGGGAAACCGGCAGGCCAGACTTAAGTCCTGGAGATGGGAAGTACAGTGCCTGCACTCTGAAGGAGGGGTGTTAATGTTGCAGTTTTATAACTGTAGTGTAAAGCACCCCTCTGGCACGACAGTGATGGAGTGAATGATGATGAAAGTTGTTCTTTTTTGGGCCACCCTGCCTTGGTGAGAATCGGCCGATGTGTTAATAAAAAAAAAGTAGGGTGGGGATTGAATGATCATTGAGTAAGTCCCTGAGGTGGGCACTGCTGGAATGAAGCTGCCATTGACAGCATATTTTGTGGTATAGTAGTTTTTCAGCTGTCCACAAAGTTGGATCAGATGAAGACCTGTAAGAACATGGCCCTGTGTATAAAAAGCAAGGCCACTGATGCCTTTCATGTGTTGTAGGCTCTGTTAAAATGGCTAATCCATATAGGATGAATAAAGTCTCCTTCCTCTCCTGCTCTCCCTCTTTTTCTTTCTTTTTCTTTTTCTCCCTCTCTTTTAAATTTGAAGGTTCATTCATTTTTAAATTTGCTCCTGCAGATATGAAGGAAACAGCCAACGACTCATCTGGGGAGGATGACTCTGACGAAGACACAGATGACCCATCCATCCATTCTCCACCAGCTACCACTGAGGTGAGTCTCACCACAAAAGAGCCTACAAAATTATGTATAGAACAAAAATTAGGTTTCTATTTCCATAACTGTAAACTCAGAGTGGTCGTATCTGAAACAGGAGGGGGATGTGGCTAAGGTTATTCTTGAGTTTGGTTGATAAAATTTCAGATAGTGCACCATTTATTGTGTGTGTGTATATATATATATATATATATATATATATATATATATATATATATATATATATATATATATATATATATATATATATAATATATATATATATATATATATATATATATATATAAAATTATTATTATATATTTTTCTTACCTAACCTTTCATACCTTATTACTTAATACAGTATATTTCTTTACAAAAATCTGTCAGAACATTTTCTTGTAGTTTAATTTTAAATGCCTTGCCTTTTGCTTTCTCATGTTGCATTATTTTCTTACAGGAAAAATTGCCCTGGTTGTCTTTTTCTTTCCCTCTCTGTAACACTTGATATGCCCTGAAGGAAATAAAGCATTATCTGACCAATGTTATTAAAGTAATTAAAATATTCAGTAGGTCAGTAATGCTAGGGAAATTGTTCCTATGATGCTCCCCAATATGAAGATTCCAGCTCACCAGGTAAAGATAGTCAATTGTCCTGAATATTTCCCTGTCATTAATGTGGTTTGTCTTTTTACATCCCCTTTGCTGCACTCTTCGACCTCAGCTCAAAATAGTGTCTTCTGACTGTTTTGACGTGTGAGTTCAATTTATTGCTTGCCTTTGCTATAGTTTATCTAGTGTGTGTGTGTGTCTATGTGTATCCATACATTGTACATGATTATACATAATGTATGAGTGCATATACATGAGTATGTGCACACTCCTCATGCATATGTCATTACCTTTTGCTACTTACAGTACAGGAGTAGAACTATGCTTGTGGTGTCCCATCATTTTTAATTTATCATAGTTTTTGTTATGTATACACCAGCTGGAGCTCATTCCAATTACCTACTCTTATTTGCATGTGTAATTATTCATATGCCTACTTGAGTTTGCAGAGAAGAGGAAAGCTTCAGCCCTTGGTTCTGCATATGTGTGCATGTGCAAACATATTTGGTATAATTAGGTTTACTGTATTAAGAATTGTTGCAGTACTGCATAACTTAATGACTGGGGCTAGTTAATGTGCATTTCAGTAGTGCTTTGAAGTTGTATATCAGGCAGTGTATGTGACACACTGTCCCTTCCTCTTTCTGTGAACCTGCAACAATTTTATATTCTCTAGTTTTTTCCTAACACACTTACTCAGATTATTCTAAATACCATATGAAAATGTTAATGTATGATATATACTGTTATTTTCATATAGTCGGACTTGAGTCCTGGAAATGGGAAGTACAATGCCTGCACTTTAAAGGAGGGGTTTGGGATATTGGCAGTTTGGAGGGATATGTTGTGTATCTCTATACGTATATGCTTCTAAACTGTTGTATTCTGAGCACCTCTGCAAAAGCAGTGATAATGTGTGAGTGTGGTGAAAGTGTTGAATGATGATGAAAGTATTTTCTTTTTGGGGATTTTCTTTCTTTTTTTTTGGGTCACCCTGCCTCGGTGGGAGACGACCGACTTGTTGAAAAAAAAAAAAAAAAATATACTGTATGATATATACTGTAGGTTGGTAGACAGCAACCACCCAGGGAGGTACTACCGTCCTGCCAAGTGAGTGTAAAACGAAAGCCTGTAATTGTTTTACATGATGGTAGGATTGCTGGTGTCTTTTGTCTGTCTCATAAATATGCAAGATTACAGGTATGTCTTGCTACTTCTACTTACACTTAGGTCACACTACATATACGTGTACACATTTATTTATACACACTCATCTGAGTTTTCTTTGATTTTTATCTTAATAGTTCTTGGTCTTATTACTTTTCCTTTTATATCCATGGGGAAGTGGAATAAGAATCTTTCCTCCGTAAGCCATGCGTGTTGTAAAAGTCAACTAAAATGCCGGGAACAATGGGCTAGTAACCCCTTTTCCTGTAAAGATTACTAAAAAGAATAAGAAGAAGAAAATTGTCAAAGTGGGAAGTCTGAATGTGCGTGGATGTTGTGCAAATGATAAGAAAGAGATGATTGTGGATGTTATGAATGAGAAGAAACTGGATGTCCTGGCTTTAAGTGAAACAAAGCTGAAGGGGGTGGGAGAGTTTCAATGGAGAGGAATAAATGGGATTAGGTCAGGGGTTTCAAATAGAGTTAGAGCTAAAGAAGGAGTAGCAATAATGTTGAAGGATAAGCTATGGCAGGAAAAGAGGGACTACAAATGTATAAATTCAAGGATTATGTGGAGTAAAATAAAGATTGGATGTGAAAAGTGGGTTATAGTAAGTGTGTATGCACCTGGAGAAGAGAGAAGTGTAGAGGAGAGAGAGAGATTCTGGGAAATGTTGAATGAATGCGTGGGGAGTTTTGAATCAAGTGTGAGAGTAATGGTGGTTGGGGATTTCAATGCTAAAGTGGGTAAAAATGTTATGGAGGGAGTAGTAGGTAAATTTGGGGTGCCAGGGGTAAATGTAAATGGGGAGCCTTTAATTGAGCTATGTGTAGAAAGAAATTTGGTAATAAGTAATACATATTTTATGAAAAAGAGGATAAATAAATATACAAAGTATGATGTAGCACGTAATGAAAGTAATTTGTTAGATTATGTATTGGTGGATAAAAGGTTGATGGGTAGGCTCCAGGATGTACATGTTTATAGAGGGGCAACTGATATATCGGATCATTATTTAGTTGTAGCTACAGTTAGAGTAAGAGGTAGATGGGAAAAGAGGAAGGTGGCAACAACAAGTAAGAGGGAAGTGAAAGTGTATAAACTAAGGGAGGAGGAAGTTCGGGCAACATATAAGCAACTATTGGCAGAAAGGTGGGCTAGTGCAAAGATGAGTAGTGGGGGGGTTGAAGAGGGTTGGAATAGTTTTAAAAATGCAGTATTAGAATGTGGGGCAGAAGTTTGTGGTTATAGGAGGGTGGGGGCAGGAGGAAAGAGGAGTGATTGGTGGAATGATGAAGTAAAGGGTGTGATAAAAGAGGTTTTTACAAAGCAGAAGTGTTATAAGAAGAGCAGAGTATATGGAGAGTAAAAGAAAGGTGAAGAGAGTGCAAAAGGACAGCAGATGAAAGAGTGGGAGAGGCACTGTCAAGAAATTTTAATGAAAATAAGAAAAAATTTTGGAGTGAGTTAAACAAGTTAAGAAAGCCTAGGGAAAGTATGGATTTGTCAGTTAAAAACAGATTAGGGGAGTTAGTAGATGGGGAGAGGGAGGTATTAGGTAGATGGCGAGAATATTTTGAGGAACTTTTAAATGTTGAGGAAGAAAGGGAGGCGGTAATTTCATGCACTGGCCAGGGAGGTATACCATCTTTTAGGAGTGAAGAAGAGCAGAATGTAAGTGTGGTGGAGGTACGTGAGGCATTACGTAGAATGAAAGGGGGTAAAGCAGCTGGAACTGATGGGATCATGACAGAAATGTTAAAAGCAGGGGGAGATATAGTGTTGGAGTGGTTGGTACTTTTGTTTAATAAATGTATGAAAGAGGGGAAGGTACCTAGGGATTGGCGAGAGCATGTATAGTCCCTTTATATAAAGGGAAAGGGGACAAAAGAGATTGTAAAAATTATAGAGGAATAAGTTTACTGAGTATACCAGGAAAAGTATACGGTAGAGTTATAATTGAAAGAATTAGAGGCAAGACAGAATGTAGAATTGCGGATGAGCAAGGAGGCTTCAGAGTGGGTAGGGGATGTGTAGATCAAGTGTTTACATTGAAGCATATATGTGAACAGTATTTAGATAAAGGTAGGGAAGTTTTTATTGCATTATGGATTTAGAAAAGGCATATGATAGAGTGGATGAGGATTAATGTGGCAGATGTTGCAAGTATATGGAATAGGTGGTAAGTTACTAAATGCTGTAAAGAGCTTTTATGAGGATAGTGAGGCTCAGGTTAGGGTGTGTAGAAGAGAGGGAGAATACTTCCCGGCAAAGGTAGGTCTTAGACAGGGATGTGTAATGTCACCATGGTTGTTTAATATAATAATAGATGGGGTTGTAAAAGAAGTAAATGCTAGGGTGTTCGGAGAGGGGTGGGATTAAATTAATGGGGAATCAAATTCAAAATGGGAATTGACACAGTTACTTTTTGCTGATGATACTGTGCTTATGGGAGATTTTAAAGAAAAATTGCAAAGGTTAGTGGATGAGTTTGAGAATGTGTGTAAAGGTAGAAAGTGAAAGTGAACATAGAAAAGAGTAAGGTGATGAGGGTATCAAATGATTTAGATAAAGAAAAATTGGATATCAAAATTGGGGAGGAGGAGTATGGAAGAAGTGAATGTTTTTCAGATACTTGGGAGTTGACGTGTCGGCGGATGGATTTATGAAGGATGAGGTTGATCATAGAAATTGATGAGGGAAAAAAGTGTGAGTGGTGCGTTGAGGTATATGTGGAGTCAAAAAACGTTATCTATGGAGGCAAAGAAGGGAATGTATGAAAGTATAGTAGTACCAACACTCTTATATGGATGTGAAGCTTGGGTGGTAAATGCAGCAGCGAGGAGACGGTTGGAAGCAGTGGAGATGTCCTGTTTAAGGGCAATGTGTGGTGTAAATATTATGCAGAAAATTCGGAGCGTGGAAATTAGGAGAAGGTGTGGAGTTAATAAAAGCATTAGTCAGAGGGCAGAAGAGGGGTTGTTGAGGTGGTTTGGTCATTTAGAGAGAATGGATCAAGTAGAATGACATGGAAAGCATATAAATCTATAGGGGAAGGAAAGAGGGGTAGGGGTCGTCCTCGAAAGGGTTGGAAAGAGGGGGTAAAGGAGGTTTTGTGGGCGAGGGGCTTGGACTTCCAGCAAGCGTGCATGAGCGTGTTAGATAGGAGTGAATGGAGACGAATGATACTTGGGACCTGACGATCTGTTGGAGTGTGAGCAGGGTAATATTTAGTGAA